CCTTTACTCTACTGATCTGTCGAGCGAATAGCCATGCCTATTATTCTTATTATCAAGTAAAATTTGCAATTCCATTTTGTAGGGTATATATAAGGTATGGCACAATTGTGTAGGGTAACATTGCTTTGTCCTTCCTGCTTGCCACAGGGAGCTTAGGTTTATTGGTTTACTCCATCACAGCGCTCCCATTCCTCTGTGTTTATTTGTAACTTCTTTCTTTGTGCTCTGTTGACTTGGAAATATTGTTCTTCTCTTCTGCTTAAATCCTTTGCATAGTTAATCCAGAACAATGTCCCTTTTCTATAGGCACAAGAAGACAGTAAATGCTATGTTTTTGTAATGAGAGAGTTAATTGACGCTCAGTGATATTTACATCCTGGGCATCCTTTCTCTTGACCTAAACTTCAGTTGTCCTTACTTTCTAGCACCTTAAAAGCAGGTTCTGACAAGGGACTGGATGGACCCAGGGCAAGAGGTAAGCTATGCTACCCTGGTATCAAAATGGGCCTGGCCAAAGTGCCATAATGCTTAACTATAAGTTAAGAGCACAGTCATTGACAAATTCTGTCATGATCCAAAAAGTAATAACTAGATTTTGACCCTGCTAGTGATGTAGGCAGGTAGATAGGGAAAGGCTCTCTGAAATGAAACAAAGTCTCATAGAAGAAGAATTCTAGGACCAACCCACCCTGTGGAGACAGAAAATAAAGACTTGATAAGACCATCCCCAGACCCTGAAGATATGGGCCTCCTCCCCATGAAATTCCTCCTTTCAGAGAACCCCCTTTCAATCCGGTTAACTCCAGCGACCCAGCCCCAAGGAGATTCCAGGACATTCCAAGTCAGATGATTCTCGAACCCCTTTCAATCCGGTTGAGTCCAGCGACCCAGCCCCAAGGTGATTCCAGGACATTCCAAGTCAGATGATTCTCGAACCCCCTTTCAATCCGGTTAACTCCAGCGACCCAGCCCCAAGGAGATTCCAGGACATTCCAAGTCAGATGATTCTCGAACCCCATTTCAATCCGGTTGACTCCAGCGACCAAGCCCTAAGGATCTATAAGAACCAGCTCGAGAGCCCACTTGGCACTCTCTCCACCCTCAGAGAAGCCCGCGTTCCCTCTGGACGCGTTACTCTCTCTCTCTTACTCTCTCTCTCTCTCTTACTATCTGCTTATCCCTTTCTCTCCCTCTCCAAAAGCCTCCAAATAAAACCTGTTACTTCACTGCTCGTCTACTCCTGAAATTCTTTTCTGCGAGCGAGACAAGAACCCCAGAAACCTCGGGTAAGGCTTGGGACTGGTCTCTCCTTTCCTGCGAAGAGCAAATTCTCGCCCCAGCTTGAGTCTGTGGCTCCCCGAGCAATCGGGTGGCGGGGATTAACTCCCGTGCCAAGAAGATCAAGCGGACTTCAGGTGTGGCTTGACGGCCACCTTATGGGGCTGGTGGGGCTTAGGCCCGTGCCGAGCAGGTGCTCACTGCAGACTTTACCGGTCCTAGCCTACCCAGGATTCCGGGTGGCAGAGGCGGGTGGGGAGAAAGTGGCTGTCTTTCTCCTCCCCACTTCACATAAGTCACCCATGGGGCCCACCGACATCACTAGGAATAGGAAAGATTAATCTGGCCTGAGCACTGTAGTCTGAGTCTGTGGCAAGATGTTCCCAGAGAGAGCTGCCTTACAAGCCTCAATGTATCTCTTACTGTGTCCACACAAAAATGAATTATTATTAAGAAGTAGAATTAAGATGTTAATTAAGATGTTAATTAAGTTATTGGACTGAGGAAAGGAGGAAAAACAGCTTAAGTGGTATTTTGCCCTTGAACAAAGGAAGGGCTTTCTTATGTTGATTTTGCTACCAGACTTGGTGTAGCCTTGGCCCAGAGTGCTGTGGAGTAAGAGAGAGCCAGGGGAGTTGGAGAGGGATGAGAGAGAGGAGAGAGATGAGAAAGAGGCAGGGAAGCAAGATGGAGTGCAGAGAGATGAATGGAAGAGAAAGAAAGAGACAATGAGGGGTAGTGTGAGACTAGATCGGGGGCCTCAGAGAGACTGGAAGAGGCGCATAGGGAAAATGGAATATACAGTAACTTATCAATCAACGAGCTCGGTCCATGTTTCCTCCTCTGTCTGCCCCATAGCATGGGCCGCCTCGACTGGGGGAGTGGCCTGAGGCCCACCCAAACAGGGTTGGCAAGGGGGAGAACAACCAAGGTCTCATCCCTGGCCACCCTGGGAGATTATACACAATTGTTTCATAATAAAGTTAGAGATTGAAGTAGTTTTTATTCTTAAAGCAATTTCAAAGTATTATTATTCACTTCAGACATATACTTTATAATAAATATAATGTAATCTCCTTTTCAATATGGAAATCACAGAATTATGCTGAGTACTTTAAACATTTGTTGGAAATTTCAAAAAAACAATTGGTATTTTTTTCTCTGAATTTTATTAGTACATTAGAAGGAATATTAAAATCAATACATTATTTCTAAAAATAAAATCCATGGTCTCCCTAAAAGTGGTTGTATGAATATTTGCTTAACTTTAGTGCATAATGTGTTCTCTGCTTATAATATAAAAATCCCATGATAGAATTTTTTTAAGTAAAAATAGTATGATAACTATATTTAGCCTTGCAATCTAAAATCAACCGATGACTCCCCTTTTAGAATATTGAATTGGCTATCAGGAGTGACAGATGTTCTGTACATTGTGATAATACTGCCTAAGTAATTGTGATAATTTTCCACTTCTGGTTTGTCATTCCAGTGATTTAAAAATTATTTGGTTGTTGCCTGAAAATGACTGATGTTTTTCCTCTATTAAGTAATTTCTGCTGGTACAGTGTAAGTCTTTTAATGAGATCTTGAATTCTGTTGAAGTCTGCACATTTCAATCCTTTGTTCAAGTAAACAGGTGTGACAATTTATAGAATTTTATACAGAAGCTGTCTAATTGCTACATCTTGGGATTTTGAAATGTGTTTTATAGAGGAAAGCCATACATCCATATTTTCGTTCAGGAATATTTTTGAACATATGTCTTCAACATATATTTAATTAAAAACTTAAAAGTTAAAAGATAGAAAGTTTAGCTTACCAAGTTTCTTTTATACTATAGCTATTTTCTAATAATTTTATTTTTCTGATTAATAATCCTGTATAATTTCTCTATATAATCTTATTGGGTAAATTATTCAAGTTCTATAAGAAACATTTCTTATGGTACACTGTGGTCATAGTTAATGTCTTTTATGTTGATTTCATAATAATGAAAACACACAGTGTTGTTTAAAAACTGATTCATGTGACAAATATTTTCTTAACTCAAAAAATATCATGTTGTATAGCTTGAGGAGGTTTAGGAACTTCCTCAAAGATATGAACATTTCCTGATTAAGTAGAATATTAGCAGGGCTGGAGAGAGAATATTTCTTTGGGCACATCTGACCCATATTCCATCCCTAACACCTAACACGGTCACCCAAGCACTGTCAAATGTGATTCTTGAGTGTAGAGCCTAGAGTAGACCCTGATCACCTCCACATTTTGTCTTTAAAACTAAAATAAATAAAGTAGTCTGAGGCAATATGTTAAATTTATCAAAGTAAATTTAATCAAAGTAACCATTGTGTCAGTATCAGAAAATGCTGCTAAATCACAGAGTTAATTTCAAATACGTTTTTATTATTTTTAGTATTTGATTATAAAAATGTACTATCCAGGTACTTGTCATCAATTAATGCAAAATTATTTCCTTTATTTAATTTTCAAAATTATTTTTTTATAATATTATTTATTGAATGCCCATGAGAGCAGTTACAAAACTTTCAGGTTTAAGTCTCGGTCATACAATGAAACACCCATCCCTTCACCAGTGCCCATTTTCTACCACCAAAATCTCCAGTACACCTCCCACTCCATTCCTTCCCCTACCTGTGGGGCAGATGATTTCCACATTACTCTCTTTCTACTTTTATTACATTCAATATTTTGACACCAGACCCACCATTATGATCTGGGATTTTACCACAACACTTAGATTTGCCAAAAAGGCCACAGTAGACAATTTGTTTTCTATTGTTGGTTGTAAATAACATATGATTTTGGAATTCTGAAATTTTAACAATTAAATCTGAAGGGATTTATGCCAAAACCTGCTGGGATGTGAGATTTGTTCCTTAGTCTCTGGGGTCATGGCCATTAAGCAGCTTGATTAGGAGCCAGAGAAGCCGTTCATTGGTGGAGACTTGGAGTCTCTTTAGGGTGGGGAAGAAAGGGGTGGCTCTATCCACACCCTGTGTGGCCTTGCTGGTCTCATCATTGCAGGCCCAAACTTGACCGTCCGATGGCCTCTGGAGGATGGTGGCACCAAGCCGCCAAGGGGAACAGGCCAAGGCATGAAACCTATTACCACCTGGGTTGGCCGGGTGCCAATAATGTACTGCAAGGACCGGACACATTTCTGCCAAAAGCTGCTGGGTTCTGAGATTTGTTTCTGAGTCTCTGGGATTATGGCCGTTAAGCAGCTTGAAGAGGAGCCAGAGAAGTCATTCATGGGCAGCAACTCTGGGTCTCATACCTGTGGGGAGAAAAGTCAAAATTATTTTAAAATAAATATTTTTACCCCTACAAATTTTTATGTAATATTATTATGTGCATATATGTATATATATATATATATATATATATTTCCGTTGCTTAACTTTGATAGAACGTTTTGGAGATATAGTTCAATTTTTTGTTGATTTTTAAATGATCTAAAGAATCTTTAGTGAATAAACCCATTTCTCTAGTTGGAGTGTGTGTATAAATATAATGTATATAATATATGTATATATGCATCTTTACCTACATCTGTGTGTATATATATACATATATATGTATACATATAAACATATGATGAATGGTAGGGTGATTAAATGGTCAACTGAGAGAACTTAGCTCTTTTATCTCAATTCATAGTTGTCCATTTGTGACTAATAATCATAAATGTATTTGTTGCTTCTCAGCCTTTTGGATAAGATGAAGTGCAGTGTCTCTTTTTTCAGTTTAATATCTGATACTTTCTCTATCTGAAGACAATATATCAAATGTATTTTGGAGACTAGGAAATGGAATAGAAACTTGCTCCATCCATTCTGCGCATCAACCTGGTATTGAAGTACCTTTAGGAATGGTGTGAAAGGGAAAATACACATATATTTGTTTCTTAAAGTTTATACATAATAATCTCTGCAAGGGCATGCATTCTTTTAGTGTTTCCTGTACAATAAATGACATCTCTAGATTCTTTACAATCTTCACGCAATTATTGTTTTAAGTTCTGCTGAGAAACTAGCTGATACTCTTAGGTAAATACTTAACTTATGCTCTTTGTGCTTGATATCCCTTTACAAAGAAAAAATGAGCTCTTCTCACATTTTTTTGCTGACGTGGTACAAAGTCATTCTAAGATATTAAGCTATCTCTAATTCTGTCACTTTGTGAAATACTTTATATATCTGTTATGGAGTCTAGTTTATCAAACACACTTCCCCCACAATCTGAAGAATAGTGTATTTTTAATAGCAAAATAGTTTGCAGGAATTTTTAAGACAAGTGTAATTCTATATATAATGCTTCTTTTCTGGACCAAACACTTAACTTTTTGAAGTTTTATTTTTTGTTATAGTTGACTAAAAATAAAACTATTCTTTATTAATGTGACGTAGATCTTGTACATACAATGAAAATATCGTTCCTAATGTGTTGGAGACAAAAGAAAGTCATTAAGTTCCATTCTTGCTTTGTTTTTCCACAATAACCAAAAAACTGTTACACTTAGGTAACACCCTAAGGTCATCCAGTTGTGTTTAGATTAGTCAGATCATATTATCTTCTTCCCTTTTCAAGGTTACTGGTCACTAGTGGAATTTAAAATAGGAATTTAGCAATATATTAGTTTAATTACCTTGATGCATGCAGACTAACATAAAGAATAGTTTTATTTAATCAATACATGCTGTTGCTTATAATAAAGACTTAGGAGTTTGGATCCAGAAAATTTACTCTGATTTATAAGTAGAGGAAATATCAGATTATAACGTGTTTTAATGACTATATAAAACTTAAGTACCATTAAAGTAACTCTTACGAGACCAATCATAAAATTAAGTAGAAAAAAGTAACTAATTTAAGCAAAAATAAGTAAATCAATCAGTTAATAGAATAATTATGCTTATAGGCAGTAAAATAAAATGAAATATTGCCCGCACAGCAGAGCCTGGCATGCTACCTGTGGCGTATTCAATATGCCTAACACAGTAACAACAAAGTCTCCAATGGAGACGTTACTGGGCCCGCTCGAGCAAATTGATGAACAACGGGAGGACTGTGATTGTAAGATAATATTACTTTCAAATATCATTTGGATTGCAAGTGGACTTTCTGTGAATTTTTTTATGTAAAAATCACATCTTTATATATGATAATTTATATTTTCAATTATGTAATACATGATTGGGTACTAAATTCTAATTCATTTAAAAATTTGTGAATGAGGTGTGATAAATTATTTATTTCTAAAATTTAAAGGCTTATTATTAAAAATTTTATAAAATTATATAAAAGCTACTTCTAAAACAAGCTTTTATTAAAAAGCTGGTATGTTCAACACACTTTACTATAGTTATCTGTCTGTGTGTGTATGTTCATGTATAATACATTTATATGCTACACAGTAGTACAATTAGCAGGGCACTTGCCTTGTGAATGACCAATCTGGATTGAATCTCAGCATTCTATCTGAGCACCATCAGGAGTGATACATGAGAAGCTAGAAGAAGCCTAAAGTACAGCCAAGTACGGCCCAAAGTTAAAAAATGAAATATGTGTTTTGGAACATTTCACTCTGGAATTACCAGCATCTCTGGACTGTGAGTGTAATTTCTTTCTTTTAATTTGTGATTTTTATTTTTGCCTTTTCTTTCTCATATTTATTCCTAAGTAATATATATTTCTAAATTGTCATGAAAACACTTGTTATCCTTAGACATGTAAGGTATTTATTATTAGAATCCATAAAATATTTTTCTTTAATGTTTACATCCTAGAAAAATTTTTTAGAGAAACGTATATTTTTCAAACATACTATAACCTTAGTAGTTTTGTTTACTGGATCTAGGTTACACTCAAATAAAAAAAAGTATATACATATATGTATATATATATTTTTTTTTGTATTCATGTGCACTTCTTATTTTATTATTCTTTTAATTTTCAGGGATCGTATCCAGTGATAGTGATGGTCAGGCATTACTTGGAGAGCCCAGCAAGCTACCGAGAGTATTCGATATGCCAGACACAGTAACTCCTGGGTCTACACTCAGGAATTACTCATGGAGTGCTCTGGAGAATAAATAAATGGGATGTTAGAAATCAAGTCTAAGGTGGTCGTGTGCAAGGCAAGCACCCTGTCATGAAGATTTATACTCTTAGAATAATTAAACAGAAAAATACCAGTATATCTTGGGATTATTTTCAAAATATATGATAATTGACATTATAATTTTAGGTGATTTAAGAAGAATGTACTTAAATGTTCATTTAGTCTTAATAATGTGAATTGAGATAAAATATATGGTGAACAAGTGCAATTATTTACATTTAATTTATAAAGGGCATAGCAACACAAAAATTTATGTAATCTAATATCTTTTTCTACCATTAATGTCATCATTTCTAATATTTAATTTAAACATAAACACAAGAGAGTTTTATGAAATATAACATTTTAAATACCTATCTCAAGTAATATAGAAATTCCATTCTTTGAGGTAATAATATCCTAAAATATTTTATTGGCAATAAATAGTAGTTTATAAAGTTATAGAGATCCTTTTTTATCAAAATATTAAAATATATTGTTCAAATGGAGAAAAAATTGTCAATTTATTTTATAGTTAGGAATAATTGTCCTTCCAAATTTTCTCTTTGGTGATAATAGAACTATATGCTGAACTTTTAAAGTTTGGAATAAATATTCTTTATTAGTTAAAGACATTTCAGCAGACAACCATAGAATGATTGCACTCATTTGCAGGATATAAAAAACATAGTATAATATAAAGACTAATACCCAAAGACAGAAGTAACAGGGGCCAGAAGGACTGGCCCATAATTAGAAAGTTGCCATAACGTGGATGGCAGGAGTTAGTTAGGACACAGAAGAGACCTCTATGGCCATTACAGATGGAAATGAGTGCTCTGAACAAGAACTGAGTAGTAAAAGTAGGTAAAGGCACATATCTTTCACTACCTATATTACAAACCATGCTCTGTAGCACAGTTCTCCTGCTGTTCATCAGTTTGCTTGAGCAGACATATTACAAACCATAATGCCAAAAATAAAAAAAAAAAAGAGAAAGTGTGGGGTCGCCATAGAGCCATAGAGACCAGCTAGAGTAGGGGGTGGCAAGAGGGAAACTGAGGACCTTGGTGGTGGGAAATGATGTATGCTAGTGGAGGAACTGGTATCGGAACACTGTATGATTGAAACCCTTTCATGAACAATTTTGTAACTAGAAATCTCATGGTAATTCAATTGTCTCTCTGTCTCTCTGTCCTCCCGTTGTTCATCAATTTGATCCAGTGGGCACCAGTAATGTCTCCATTGTGAGATTTGTTGTTACTGTTTTTGGCATATCAAATATGCCCCGGGGAGCTTGCCAGGCTCTGCCACTCTGCCATGCGAGTGGGATACTCTCAGTGGCTTGCTGGGTTCTCCAAGAGGGACGGTGGAATCAAACCCGGGTCTGCTGCATGCAAGGCAAATGCTCTACCCTCTGTGCTATTGCTCCAGCCCAGCAATTCAATTAAAAAATTAAATTTAATTAATTAAAATGCTAAAAAACAAAAAAATAAGGGGAAGGAAGAAAATAATAAATATTAGAATGGAAAACAAAACAGGACAAAAATAGATCTGAAAACCATAGTTTTCTCCATCTAGTAATTCGAATTACACCTGCATTTCTAGCATTCATTGCTACAGGTTCATCCACATTAACCTCCCCACCTACGCACAGCATCTATGTAACACTTTGCCATCTTGACAGCATAATTAACAGCTCTTATTTATCAGGTGTCTGACACTTCAAATACCAGAAGTTTATGACTCCATTTTTAAAAATTATTCTAACATTTAATGACATTCTTTATCCAGTCATGTGTTTCTCAGTTTTTAAACATTTCTGTTTCTGGATTGCCAAACACACGTTAACCATATATTCACACGTAATATTTAAATGACTTGTTTTAAATGGGAATAAATATTTGAATTTTCATTTCAAATTGTAGATTGCTGGTGTTGGAGAGATAGCACAGTGGGCAAGACACTTGTCCTACATATGGGTGACCCAGGTTTGAACTTTGGTGCTGCATATAGTCCCTTGAATCCACCAGGAATGACTTGTGAGTGCAGAGTGAGGAATTCACACTGAGCACAGACAAATATAGCCTAAAAATCAAATAAATAAAATTGCTGTTTTCATCAAGTTTGCTTTTAAAATGCATTCCAGCATATTAAACTCATATAAGTTATGAATAAAAGTTAAATTACAACTACTATTTATATTATTCATTTATTTTCGGTTTAGGGGCTACACCCAGCGGTATTCAGAGCTTAGACCTGGTTCTGCACTCAGGTATCACTTCTAGGAGGAAATTTATAGGGTGCTGAGATTCATCCTGGGTCGGCCAGGTGCAAGGAAAGTACCCTGTCCTCTGTACCATTACTCTGGAACCCAACAGCCATTTATTATTAATGATACACTGGGCACTGTGCTGATCTTGCTTTATGGATTATTTGCATGCAATTCATCAAAGGTAAACATTGGTGTTAAGCCAGGACATTAGGATGAGCCTCTGGACACTGCCCTGCAAGCAGGAAGCAGAACCTAGGCCCCACTTTGAGTTAAGTGGGCAAGCTGAGACTTGTGAGTCTGAATGATCCTAGAAGTACAGCATGCTCTCATACAACAACCTGGTCATACATTATCTTGACAGTACAAAGCAACACTTTCCCTCTCTCTTACACATCCTTAATCTGGTTTTACTTTCAAGTATCACTACGAGCCTTCTCTGTTTTTTGTGTAATCGACCACAAGAACGTGGGGGATGTAATCTATAGAAGTTATGTGTCCAGCTCCGTA